AGGAGCATACAGGATAGAGCGGCCCAGCTGCCTAGCAGGTCTCCATGGCAACTACAGGAGACACAGCTGCCACGCAGTGAGGAGAGAGAGATGAAGCCACAGAGGTACAGGCCAGACGGTGTTTTCACAGCTGCTGCACGCTGCTTTTTACTTCACGGAGAGTAAAGACATCAGTAAGAACCCCGGCCTCTTGTCCTCTCTCAAAGTACACTACAAGGGCTTAAGATTTATTGATGGACTCAAATTGGATTGGCGAGCAATGCCAGGGAACAAGAGGACAAAATGTCAGCCAACTTGTTTTCCCACTTTTCGTGTAAATGGTGAGATCAACGTCCCGCCAGAGGTGGTCGGACAGATGTCGTGGTCATGTGAAAAACATAAAATTATTTTTAAAAGTTAAAGTACCCATTTCGTTTGGTATATATGCTTAAAATGAGAAAAAAAAATACGTATAAAATCAATGTATATGTTCTGCACAAACTTAAAAATCTCCTACAAAAAAACTGTCAGGTTTATCAAAGTTCTGTAGGTGTAGAGCAGGGGTGCCCAATCTTATCCGCAAAGGTATGTGTATGCGGGTTTTCGCTGCAACTCCCTAATTAGATTACTAATTAGAGGACTGATTGGCTGAAGAGTCCTCACACCTGGGTTTGAACAGCTGACCTACAGGTTATCCCAAAATCCAGTATGCACACCGGCCCTTTGCGGATAAGATTGGGCTCCCCTGGTGTAGAGCTACTTAAAAACATTCAATGCTACAACAGCTAAAAATCAGCTAAAGACTTGAGTTATACTCTAAAACAACAACACAAAATAACCAAGGGACTATATATCCATAACTATATATCCATATGCCTTAACAGGTGTACACTAGATGGACAAAGGTATTGGAATACACCTACAGCCCCCCCCCTTACAGCTGTAACAGCTGCCACTCTTCTGGGGAGGCTTTCCACAAGGTTCTGGAGTGTGTCTGTGGGAATTTTTGCCCATTCATCCAGAAGAGCATTTGTGAGGTCAGGCACTGATGTTGGACGTGAAGGCCTGGCTTGCAATCTGCATTCTAGGTCATCCCAAAGGTGTTTGATGGTGGTTGAGGTCAGGGCTCTGTGTAGACCAATCAAGTTCTTCCACACCAAACTCACCCAACCATGTCTTTAAGGACCTTGTTATGTGCACTGGGGCACCGTCATGCTGGAACAGAAAAGGACCTTCCCCAAACTGGTTCCACAAAGTTGGATGCACAGAATTGTCCAAAATGTCTTGATATGCTAAAGCACTAAGAGTTCCCTTCACTGGAACTAAGGGCCCAGCCCAAGCCCTGAAAAACAACCCCATACCATTATCCCTCCTCCACCAAACTTTACAGTTGGCACAATGCAGATAACGTTCTCCTGGCATCTGCCAAACACTGACTCATCCATCAGACTTCCAGACAGAGAAGTGTGAATCATCACTCCATAGAACACGTTTCCACTGCTCCAGAGTCCAGTGGCGGCGTGCTTTACACCACTCCATCTGACGCTTGGCACTGCACTTGGCAGAGGTGGCAATTTCAGGTCCAGAAAGTAAAAATCCAGATCAAGATTTTGTTTCAACCAACCAGTTGAGTACTCTGTGCCTGTGACTCTTTATGCTCAACTGGTTGGTTGAAAGTAAATCATGGTCTGGATTTTTACTTTCTGGACCTGAAATTGTCACCTCTGGCAAATTTATTTCACTTCACTGCTGGTGTACCAGTGTAAAATCCTGAATCCCAGTTCGTGGAAACAATCATTTTGTTGTACTTTTACAGCTACATGTTCGGCAAAATGGTCAGTGAATAAGGAAGTGACTAGTAATGAGGATGTGATGTCAGATAACCAGGTACTAGTGAGATTATATGGGTTGTTTTATTAGTCCATGTTGTTTACGTAGAATACAGCTAGGTCCCAATTTTGATTAAATGTCATGCCCCAGTAATGCACTGTAATGTAAAATCATAAACATAGTAAATATTCCTCACATTTATAAAACAGGTAATGGTTACAATGCTGAAAAATAAACTTGCCTCTTTATTGAAAGAGGAAATCTAGGACATGTTTCGTCCATTTTTGAAAGGCAACCGCAATATAGGATAAAAATTGAAACAAGGTTGTTTTTCAGGCCTTTATATGATGATATCCAGGGACCTCCGTCCTTCCTGCAGTAAGCTAATCACTGATTACAATTATCTAAGGGCTAAAATGCCAGTGACACTTATGAACTGTACATAAAATTTCCACAAAGTTTAAGAAAGGTTATTTTTTTTAAAACACTCAATTAACACATTCTTAAATGTCTTGTAATATTTATATAAGAAAAACAGAAGATAATAGTTTGACCTTTTCATACTTAAGATTTCACACATCAGTCCAGGGCACATCAGTTTGATACAATCAACTGCAGTACATTGTTACATTGCTGTTTGATAAACAGTCTCGTCTAATTCACATTCAGTTGTTTATCACTGGTTCTTACAGCCCATCCCTCCAAATGAAGTAACAGTAAAAAGCTTTTCTGATTGAAAAGAGAGCAGAAATAGCCTAACAGACCTAAGAATGACAGTGAAGATGATCACCCTGAAGAGAAATACCACTTCATTTCAAAGCGTGTGTCTAAATAAATCACTATCGCTTGTATATCCAGAAATCTGGCCAATCAAAGGCAATGCCAGCATTCTGCAGAAGCCACTCCCTGATTGTCAGAGCTGGATTTGCCAGGAGATTGAAGGAGCTACATTAGATGGGTCTACGAGTCTTAGAAATGACGGCCTACAGATGGCTTTGGTGGCAGGATATAGAATGGCTTTGGATCTTGCTGTCAACCTGGATTCCGTGGATTTTTTGATGACATAAATAAACGACATGGATGAAGTCCATAGGTCAACTTTAGGCATGGAAAACAACCTGCTAAAATATTCAGATCTTCATTATTGTTGTGTCCGGGTTTATGGTGCCCTCTGTGACCTCTTCAAGGCACTGTTAATGTCTGTTCGTTTTAAAATTGGGGAGTATCATCTTATCAAGCCAGTGCAGGCAGCAGCTGGTGGATCAGAGCAGAGGGCAGACTTTGACAAGACTGCAAAAGGTTGGGAGAAACATCTCCATGTCCCTTTGACATCAGTGGGAATGATTCCCATTTAACAACAAGGTGGCCAAGTTTCAGACCTACACACATTATCAGTAATACCGAAGGTGATGCTGATAGACTACAAACACAACACTATGAGTCAGCAAATCACCAGATGCAACCCATCTCACTTCACAATCTATATAACCTCACATACACCATCAAGGATAATGTAGCAGCTGATCTGCTCGTAATTTACATGCTTTTCATCAGACAAGTTACAGGCAAAAATATAAATTAAATCAAGTTATGACGGTCGCTTACGTTAATGAAGAAAAAGCCAAAAACCATCAAACACGCACTGACATGCAACGGCAGTGCTGCAAAGTCACATGTATCCGGCAAGTACAAGAGGTATTGTAGACTCTATATATCAAAAAACATTTTGCTTTGTCATTAGATGAGATTTAAGAAAATTAATAAGACATTCAATTTAATAGGAAATATGGAACATCAAGCATCAACAGGGGCATCTCAACCCAAAGAGCATTTTCAATAACTCGCCAGTTGCCCTCATTATAACCCTGACTGGTACTGACACTGCAGTGCCATGCACTGGCTGCAGTGATTAAGAGCAAAGGAAAAGACTCATTCCAAGCTGTGTAGTGTATGTGGTCCCCTTATGTCACACCAATGAAAACTCTCACGTACTTAATTAGCAGAAATGTTTGGGATGTATGCTCGTAAGATACCCGAAACTGATTACGCAACGCTTCTCTATTTACGCACTGCTTAAGGCCGTCTGCCAACGAATACACGAACACATTGGCTAGTGTGCTGGAATTTGAATAACCTCTGACCCCGAGAACCAACCGCGTGCAAACAACATTGCAGCGAACATGAACTTGAGACCTTAGATCATGCTCACTCTTCAAAGTGATCTAGACTTCGTTTACAGCTCTTGCTGTCATTCAGTCAGTGCTGCATGGTAGCATCTAAATATAGTGTTTTCTGCAATAAAAGGTACACTTAATAGAAGACCCACAGTAGTAAGGTAAAAAAAGAAATTTTATATACACACACACACACACACACACACACAGACATATATTTATTATTCAGTGCTGGTGTCTCAAATAATATATCTAAACCAAGCTTATCACGCACTTGTCCAACATCACTTCACAAAAAGAACAAAAGTGAAGGATATTATTTACAATAGACTATAAATACTGCAGCATTTACATTTTTCTTTCAACTGAATGTTCCAACATGCATAGAAATCCCAGACGGACGGCTCAGTGGAGAGCGGCACGACATTACGCCGAGATAAACACATCCGAAACAACCCAAGTACACTCAAAACGGTGCTGCCCGGAAGGGTAATGCCCGCGCCGGTTTGGCGCGTTATTTCAGAGCAGCTGGCAGCGGCGAGGTGATTTAACACCTGCACGGGGCATGGAGGGCCCCGGGAAAGCAGCCGTCCACCAGAGGCTGGAGAGAAGGAGCACATAAACACTGCTGACGAGTCATGTAAACTCAATCAAATGACCTTCAGCTTCCAGACTCCATTAACATTAAAATGTCTGCACTGAATGGGGTAACAGCTTCCACGCCACTTTAAAAGCATACTGGTTAACCCCTCTCCCCCCCCCCAAAAAAAAAAGACACTCTGGGTTTTATTAGTCAATATTAACGTTAAATTAATACGAACATGAACAAAAACACCAAATTTATTGATAATGTCCACAGGATTACAAAAACTTAACAAAATAATTAAATCAACACCCAAAGAATGGTACATTCAGCACAGTAAAAGCAGGTAAGGTCAGAAGACACACACATGCCTGTACATCAGTGGAGGATGAGCAAGGCGATGACTGAAAGGAAACAAAAGAGCCCATGCTTACCTTTCTTAGACTTCGCGCCTATCTTCAGTTTTGATGGCCATGCTATCTGAGTTTTCGTTTCCTCCATAATCTACAGACAGAACAACACACATTAACATCATTAGAAAAAAATATGTCACAGGACTGCAATGGTGGGCTGGTTTAACACCTCCTGGGTCCAGTTCCTGCCCTGGCTCCTCCCCCCTTCCCCCAAGGATTCTGCTCCCCCATAATGACCTGGATAAGCAGTAATGGAAAATGGATGGATATCCAAGAAGTGCCTGATCATCAGATAATGATTATGTCCTTTAAATCAGGGTTTCTCAACCCGGTCCTCGGGGACCACCAGACGGTCCACGTTTTTGCTCTCTCCCAATTCCCTGCCAATTGGGAGAGAGCAAAAACGTGGACCGTCTGGTGGTCCCCGAGGACTGGGTTGAGAAACCTTGCTTTAAATGGACGGGTGAACTACACAAAGACTGGCCAACAAACAGACAAACAAAAAAACCCTTCAGATCGTCAACGACACCCAACTTCAAGGAAAAAATGAAAGCAGGCATTGCACTTCAGGTCATGGCAAAAATTACACCTACTTCATTTTGAGCGAAAGGTAAATAGCAAGGATGGGTTGATAATTAATAATGAACCACTAACTACTCCACCAAAGGACTAGCTAATCCCACCAAAAGATAATTCACATTCTTTGCAAGATTTGATTGTTTTCTTATCCTTAAAATGAAAAGGGCAACTTGGAAAACATTACAAGCCAAAAATACTGTTTTTCAGTGTTTTTTTTGATGATTGGTAGTGAACTATTCATTATTTTTTGAAGGTTCCAACCTGTTTCAAATTAAAAAAAAAAAAAAAAAAAACGCCAAGAAAGTAAAAATGATAACCACCTGGTCCTTGATACTTATCCTAGATGTCATTTACAAGAAACAGTGGCAATATGATTGTTTGGGCTGTTTCCCAAGGATTATATTACAGACTCCAAAACATCTGAGAGACATCCACTCTAATGACTCCTGAGTTGTCCACCAAAAGGTAGATGGAACACATGGCCGAATGCACAGCATAACCCAAAACACAGCAGCTACGCAGACTGTCTGCCCGCACACATTTTCCATGTGTGTTCGCGTGAGTTGCCTCACCGTCCTCCACTTCCTGTTAATGGACCGAGGCACCAAGCAGATCTGCCACTAGAGGCAAACATCAAGCATCTGGCTTCTTTTAGGTGTCTGCTGGTGTTGTGTAAAGACTGCACGATCAATCCTTCGCCCGCCATTTCCTTATTTGTCTTAATGTCCTGGAGTGAGGCACGAACATTCAGCGAAGTGGAATGTGGTCATCATCACATCAAATAATTTCAAGGATATGAGTTCATACATCCAGCTCAGCTTAGGGTCTTTGAGTAAGTCCCTATAAAAGGTGACTACATAGCTAATATACAGTATATATATAGTATATATGGTATATATGGTATGGTATATATGCAGGAATATACCAATGTCACCGGTGTCACCATGGCTAAAGCCCAGCTTTCCAAAACACACCCAAAAGATCTTGCAACTCATAACATTCATATTAATTTTCGAAGGAAAATTATATATTTTAAAAATGTTTACAATGTCCTCAATGCATAAGATCTCCAAAGTCTCCAAAGTCTCATTTGGAAAATATATCAAGTGATTGTGGCTTTAAATCTTCCTAAGTCTGATTGCATTGCGGAGATCGTATCAGAGCCTGTTACCGGCCTGCTTATAGTCCCCTAACTCCACTTTTTCTTGACATGAAGCTCTGCTTTTTAATTCAGTTTCAAGGACATAGCCTTAGGGGGCATTCTGTGATTATAAATGAGTGTGAGCATGCATGCGCAGGTTTGGAGAGGTTTCTTTCATTTTCTGTAAGCAATAATAAGTTACATCACTTTGTCATAATGTCGATAATTATTGCTGAAGGCCTTGTATATAATTTAATGGCAATATTGTCACAGGAGGTTGTCAGTCCTGTTTCAATCAGAAACAGCTTCATTATACTGTCTCCTCAACAATGATGTAATGCTTTCTGATTGTACACATTTTCTTCCCGTTTCAACTTCAAAAGGAGTTAAATACTAAGCAAAAAGCTTCCACTAAGACAAAAGTAGACAAGTGAGAAACTCAATTATGATATGATGGGCTGGATGAATGTAAGCTGGTTTAAGAAGTTCATAAAGGGCTGGGTTCTTAATTAAATACTTCTTTGACACTAATAAATTAACATTGTGCAAAAGCAGAAGATGGCCAAGTGTGTGCGTGAGATTCCGCCTCATGGGAAAATCAAAAACATTTTCATGAAACTGGAATGGATATCACAAGTCTTCACACTACATGGAATGACCTTCTGGAAATCCGACACCCTAATGGAACATTTCAAATTGGAATTCATCACTTCCAGCTGCCTGGCTCTGAGGAGTAAATATGCACTGCTTTTTGTCACAAAACTCTATTCCAAAAAAAAAAAAACAGATGTTTTAATACACCCAGAAACTATTTCGATACATTTGAATCACAAAGTAACAAATGTTATTTGTGAACTTCCAATTAAAACATTCTGACTTGAAACACTCCTAAATTTCAATTCGTCCCCAGAAAAATGTAACTTTTTTTTTTTTTTAAAGAATTTTGATGTTTTGCATTTGGAAACTATTAAAAACAACAATCCCAGTAATGGTGGACACTGGCACCGTCCAACTTCTGGGTTGTGGGTTAGAAACCAGCCTAGCTTTGTCTGCTCGCAATCCCAGTGTTTATGTTACCCGATTCCAAGCGTTTCGGTTTTCCAGTCACATTCCCACCATGCAGGTGAACTACTGACTTCCCCTCAGTGTCAGCAAGCTTATGTGCACGTGGGTTCCCAGTGATAGACTGACACCCCTCCCAGTAAAACGCCTCTTTACTCGTCATGGGGTGTGGAGTTAAACACAAGCAACGGGCTGAAAAAGGCCAAACCGGCAAATTATTTGCACCTGAAAAAGCTTGGCTAAGGGTTTCTCTCCAGACTCTAGTTTTAATTAATCAACCATGTGCATGGATACAATGAAAACACACAAACTTTGCAATGGCTTCAGCACCAGCCTTCCAAAACGTAAAGGTGACAATCATGCTAAATATTGAAAAATAAAAAAAGAAAGCTGACAGTCTTTTGGGAAAACCATGCTTATCGAACTTATTTTGTTTTAAAAAAGTTTAAAACGCTAATGGCCACAGTTCTGCTGAAAACCTAGTTGAGGATGCATTTGAATGGAGTGAAGACTAGCGTGCCCCCCGCCCCCACACACACACACGTCCTCCACACTGTGAAATCGCATTTGACAGTTTGACAGCCCCAATTTAAAGCACAGCTGAGAATCAGAGTCATCAGGTTGTAATCACATTACTTTAGTACATTTTATAACTCGTCCAGGTTTTCTCGATTCAAAATTTCCATTTTTGCAGCGCTCCTCAGTAAATCACGAGACATTCAACTGAATTAGGAGCCTGCTTTGCCAATTCACAAATTCGCTTGTGCCAGTTGTTAAAAAAAAAAAATGCAATTACATATGTGTAGGAATGAGCAACTGAAGCTAAAATCACATACTGCACCCCAGAACCCAGTAATGCAAGCTCAAGCTGGCTCTGAGCCTCAGGGAGACAACATGACACAAACATCACCTTAGGGAGTCTGAACGCAAATAGAAGCAGAGTTGAGGTTTGCTGACGTAGTTTGCCCTTTCCAGCTAAAGTGGTCAAAGGGAAATGCCTCAGAAAAGCTCCACATTGAACCGGAACACAATGGACATCTCCATTTTCATCCCAACATGATTGCTGAAGAAGTCTCATCTTTCAAATATTGAGTAAACTCGGCAAACCCTCAAACGACTTCAAGATGCAATAAACAAACAGATAAATCAATGAGAAGGTTCTGTGTCACAACGTAATATGTCCATTCAAGAAAGTGACGTTCTAGGCAGAACACAGTGGAACACTAGCCCACCAATCACAGGGCAGAATGCAAATCATTTGTCAGAATTAATCACTTCTGACCATGCCGACACCTTGAAATCATTATGGTGAACTGAAGTAACCGTGAATTCCCACTAGATCATCCGGTGCCTGCTATTAATTTCTAAATGCTTAAAAAAGGTTACAGCACTACTTAGACAGAATGCTGGATGTTGAAAAGTGTGTGTATAATTTATGGAACTGAAATAAATGTCATATATAATGATATATAAGTAGTCGAAGTCAAAATATTTATAAAGATATGTGCATTAACTTATTAAGGTGAAACATGCATAGGAAAATATTTAAAAATGGCTCTATATCAAACCAGACTTCTCTGAATCTCAACCTATATGTAAACATTGTTTAGTTATGGAGATGTGGTTTTCCTTACTGACAATTTGGCCACAATTTAAAGTCATTAGGTTTTATAGAAACTGCAAATTCTTCCAATCAAGTGCCTTCAAAAGACTGTAACCTGATCTTGAGGTACTTTCCTTTCCTCTAGTAAACCTACAAGGCCGTATTGTACTCCTAACTTAGACAAAAAGTACTCGAAAACCAAAGCCTGGAGATCCTACAGCGCTCATTTTTCACGCTGGCATTGTTTACAGCACGTTCCAATGGAAAGATGGCGGACGGGCAAGGACAAGCCTGCAGCATCCATCCGAGTGGCATCTTCACCGCACAAATCAGAGCTGTATTCAGCTCCCCACAAAAAAAAAACAACACAAATTTAAAACAATATTTCCACAGTAAAAGCTGGAAAGAGAGAGTAGCAGAGATGAGAAAAAAGAAACAGCCCAAAAACTACACTCCCTCATCTTAGGCTCTGGAAAATCCCTGACTATTGTGTTATAAACCACACTGTACAAGACCAGAGGTCAGAAATAACTTGGAGAGGCAGAGCTGTTCATTACGGCGCTAAGCGGAAGACTCTCAGACAGTGACTAAGAGAGGCAGATCAGAGGTACGACACTGCAGAGGCCAAAACAGAAAACGAGTACCTCAGTACGCTCCGCGTCCACTACTATGCTCGTTAAACCTCACCCATTCCCAAACACGTCTCTTTAAGTTTAAAGCTAAAGTTTGCGTCCCGCCTGCTGTGAGACAATGAGACACTTACATCTGAGCGTTGCCTTGCGTCCAGTGCGTGGGTGGGTAGGCGGACAGGAAGTCATCCAGATAAATGTTTCCATGAATACTCCATGGATTTCAGCATGATTCACGGAGTAAACGCTAATCTCTTTAAAAGACAAAACTGTTCCAATAAAGATCTTATGGGAACAACAGCAGGGTATTTACATTACAATAAAGAATTGAGCTAAAGGTCTGTGTGTCTGTCCTATATGCACTCATCCATCGTAAATAAACCCTGCTCTTCTCAAAGACGAAAGGGCTGCTTTAAAAATACAAGGGTCACCTCTATCCTGGACAGCAGTCAGTCTGAATTACAGAAAAATGCATGAATAACAGGAAAGTGGGTAGTGGAAATAAATGCCTTTAAATGCACTACTGAGATGATTAGTCATTACAGACCTGGATGGAGAACAGTTAGAAATCAATGATGACTTGAGGAAAGTGTGCTACTTAAATTTCAACACGCTAATGAAGACTCAGATGAGCCACATTCATAGCCAACTGCAAGGCACCTCGTGAAAAAAAGCTTAAACTTTTATTTGCCAGGACAGAACCAAACCAGCATAGGTTTCTGATCGGAGTTTGGCATCTCTTTTACTTCAAAACTTGCCATCTCAACAAATCTGCGTGCAAAGTGAAGATTAAAGGTGAAGAGGAGTGTGTGACGTGCACAACACAAAACCCGAGAGCGCCATCGTCTGTATGCCAGCACTCCATCAAGGACCGGGCTATTGGCAGTGCCACTGTAAACATAAACAAGTAAAATACATTCTTAAAAGTTAAAAGTTTAACATCATAACAATTATAATGAACTAAATCTCGTCTAAATCCTGGGTTTTCTACAGTATTTTCGCATTGCTGTAGCCACCGGTGTAGGAGAGAGTTTGATAAGGACACAACTTCATAATTTTGTCACAGGAAGACTAATTTGCAGAGGTGTTTCTCTCTCGCTCTGATGGCACGGACACTCAGATGATGTCATCTCAAATGAGTTCGCATGTCAGATGTGTTTCCAGCAACAAACCAGAGTCTGGCAGAGCTGAAGAGACAGTCTTTGTCTTAACTTCTCTCTCTCTAAAGCTGGTGTAATTTATTGGGAAACCAAAATGCTCCAAAACTGCTACTTATGACTGTAACCAGGATTACTTGTAACCAGCTCAGAGCCACAATTAGCATTGTGTTCCATATTAAACATCTACTAGTGAAATTAAGGTTCCGTTGTTTCAATAAATGTATTAGTTTCATTGTGCATACGGAACCAAAGATGATGTACTGAACAATACATGATGAATATGTGTACAATTAGTGCCCAACATCAAAGACTTTCCTATGCTATGACTCTCTGAACCTCCGTGACAATGGAATCGGAGCAGCATCTAGAACAGACAATTCTACTAGACAAGCACCAAAATTACCACTGTATCATTCAAAATCCCCCACAACCTGTGCGTTTTGGAGAAACAGAAGTGAAGATATCTCAGCTGAGCTGGGAAGAAAAATTTGGTTTGCTAGTTATTAGTAAAACTGGTATCTCAGGAACTCTATAACTACTAGAACTCATATCTAAATATGACTGTGACATTATACAGGTAATGAAACTGTTTTTGACAGAATAATAATAATAATAATAATAATAATAATAATGACAAAATTAGAATATTAAAAGATAGGACTAGAATGTCAGAACATAGAAATTAAATAAGTACGAGCAAGACCAAAGGAACTGACGAACTGACGAACAGTGACATGGCCCCTCCCCCCAATACCAAACTGTCTCCTACACCAGTGACAATTACAAAGATCCAGTGCCAGAACTGTAAGAACTGGAGAACCTTGCAATGGCCCAGGTAGACTGCCCCAGAATAAATTATCTGAAAACAGATCAAATAAAATACAACTCTTCGTAAGGTGGTTCATCTTTGCATTTAGCCCCATGAAATGGGTGACTAAAACCATTCATTTCGACGACACCAGTGTTTATTATTTCCTTCTGGTTTCAAATTATGTTTCGTAAGGAACATTTGTTTGCCAATCATCTAAGTCGATGAACACATGGTCATAATACATGGAAGACATTTGCCGAAAGGAGGAATGCAGCATTCCTGCATAGATCACAGCTTGCATGGCCCAGTGACAAAACTATAAAAAAGTAAGTTTTCCTACAGAAAAGCCATCAAACAGAACAATGTCTGCCAGAGAGTGTGGAAACAAAACAACAACAACAACAACAACAACAACAATGTTACATATAAGGGGTCTGTTTCACAAAGCAGGATTTCTTGCTTAGCCAGATAATTTGCCAGATTTAAGGTAGTCTGGGCTAAATAGACCTTATTTTCATCAACTTACATTTCGCCCAGACTACCTTAAATCTGGCAAGTTATCTGGCTAAGCAAGTAATCCTGCTTTGTGAAACAGGCCCAAGGTGACTCGGCAACATGATTATACAAACTTTGGTGGAAAATACAAATCTCACTTCAGCATGTTAATAAAGGTGAATCATTGGAAAAAGTTACATTATATTGTTGCAAATCAAGGGCCTTAGATGCCTAGAAGTATGAATGATGACATGCAGCTAATCAGCACACATTGGTTTGATTGGACGTGTGTTGTAGTGAACAGTATACCTTTTCTTATGATGGGATGAGATTTACATTTTGGAATGGAGAATGCAATAAGTTTACACAACTGTTAAAACTGATTGCACTAAGAGATTGTCATTGCCAGACACACTGGATATTGAAATCAATTCACAATGTTTTTTCTCCACACTGGAGATTAAGCATTGGTTTATTTTAGTTTATTTTTACATTCGTTATAGAGCATTAGCTTGCAGGTATTTCCTACATAAACATATGAATGTCACGTTAATCCATCAATTACACGAAGGTGCGGGCTTGCAAAAAAAGTCAGGGTCAGGTGTTTAAAGCGACTGATTAAATAAAGTATAGTTTTACATCTTTGGCGATGTCCGCCTTGCCGGGGTGACCTACAGACCCGCCACTGTTTACAAGGCTGTTAAAATTATAACCATTCGAGTGTATCGTTTTGCCGACCTGTTTAGCACATTCCTCACTTTCACGAGTTATCAATTTACGCTGCGATTTATAAGCGCCCATGACGGTGCGGATGATTTATTTTCTGAAAGAGCCGAGCCCGACATTCCCTCACACTTCTGCGGCTTAAAAACACCAAACAGCCCGGGCAGTGCCAGGCGCTGTGCCGTATAGCGGTACTGAGACCACTGCCGTGCCGCGGTTTATTTTCCCACCCGCTTCTGGTTTACGCAAACAGGACGACTTCGGTGGAAATGTCCGCACGTTTCTAGATGGTTATTTATCCTAAAGGGATTTTCCGCCGGTGCGCTTCCACGGGAGATCTGCTATTATATTGCAGCCGCGTCCTCTCCCTCAAAGCGAAAGCCCGTCACACGCAGGCCCCGGGACGTTGTTCTCCACCCTCCGCCAATTAAGCTCCCCAAAGACTTTAGCTAAGAGCCTTTTGTGGAGCCCTCAGAAAAGGAGTAAAAACACGTTGGGTTCTTGCTTTCCTTGGCACGGACATAAAGGCTCCGCTCACGCAGCCTTTCTCGCCTGCCGGTGCCACTCCGGGCTACGGGCTGTCAGGACCGGCTCCGATGCACGAACACAGGCTCTGACAGAGCATCGCAATCACAATTTCACTACTGCCCAGCCTTTCATTTCACCCGATTGCCATGTCGTGTCTAAAAAGCACTAAGAAAACAATGAAGGGTGGATTATACTTTCATACAAAAAATCCATCAAAACGCCAGCTCTCTCAAATTAGACAAACAGCAGAGTATAAAATTTCACTTTTATCCGCAAGGCTGACTATTTGAATATGCATGCCAGTGATTTATGCCTGCTTGATTCCAATGAAGTGCGATGCTCATCCAACATAAACCATTAGAAGTGATGCTTCATTCTTACCTTCTGAAAGAAATCCTCCCCTCCATTGACCACTCCTTCTGTGGCAGCTGCAAAGACAATAACAATTCAGAATCATAGCCATTACTTATATATACAAAAAATCAGTACAGTGATTGCAATAATTCTAACACAATTCATCTTTCTAAGAAGTATATGACTGGTTTGTAGGTTCTCAGTCTATTTCATTAACAGTCTTAGTCTATAATAGTTCTAGAACTTATTACCTATTTCCTAATTTATTTCCTAATTTAATTCCTAACCTTACGCGATGCCATACTACGCATGCATTTATTTTTCTATACATCCATCCTCCAACTACTAATTCAGTGCAGGATCATAGTGATTTTTAGTCAGTCCCAAAAAGCCAAAGAGCAGCTGAGGCAGGGGAAGTTGTGGTACCAGGCCATCTCTGGGCATCCACCTTCACACACACAAGATTCTTAAAAGTCCTGAATGCTAAATATGTTACACTGTAAGATGCTTCCATATTTCTGTAAGTAGAATGTCACACATTCGACGTGACGTTATGTATTGGAGTGCATAGAGCAAACTGCCATATAACTTAAAAATACCGTTATTGCAATGGAACATGCCTATACGTTAGCCAACACAGCCATATTAATGGACTCAAATGTATCCATTGGAAGCAAGACAACTAAGAAGTAGCTGAAAAAACAGAGAAGAAAATTCTAGAAAAGTTTCCCTAACTCAGGAGCAGTAGGGAGCTGAAACAGAGAGCCAACGCTATACAATACGAGCGATTGAACGTGGCAGCCGTCCATGACTTGGTCCTGCACCACTCCCAGTACAGTCACATGTGTGGCATATGAAGAACATTTAAATTCGTGTTTAAAATGTATTATCTTACCAGAAATCTATTCCACATTCCTCAAAGTTGTTTACCGAAGAAATAATATTCCACACAGCACGGGCTGTTTTCACTGCAGAACTGACAGCTTCAACCGCACACCTGGTTTGAGAACGTCGGCAGAGCAGAGTCTGCTGCCGAGCGTCGACTCTACCTGTGCGTTAAATGCCAAAAAAACGCTCCACACCTCCTGCTGACAAGCTGACATCGGTGATAAAATCTACCGTCAGTCATGTGACAAGTTCTCACATCAGGAAAAAGAATCATACTATTTAGTTATTTTCCATTATATATTCGGATATTATCTCAGAAAAACATCCATCCATTTTCTATATCTGCTTTTCTATATCGAGGTCCAGAGCATGTCTTGGAAGCTGCAGACCAATGGCAGGGGAACAACCCAGGTCGGGGTATCAAACCATCGCAGGCCACACATAAACACATCATTTACATCTACAGGCAATTTGGCACGTTTTGGACTGCAGGGATAGAACCTGGAAAAAAAAATCCGCGATTACACGTGCAGAACATGCAAACTCCACACACGTGGAGCCGTGGTGGAGACTCAAGACGAAGTTCCAGAGGTGTGAGACGACATTGCTAACCACTGCACTGCTGCGCCACCTCAAATCTGCAAGAAAATAAACCGAAAATCCAAATACACATACTCATCTACTTGTATCTGTGTTTAGGGCCGGACCCACCGGACGCAAGTCAATATGGGTGCATCTCGATAGTTATGGAGGAGAGGCACAAACTGCACTACCAAATCAAAAGATGTGTGCAATAGCAAATAATTTGAGCTGAGAAAGAAGACGACGCCTGAAGCTGTGGAGAAATATTTTTTTGCATAGTACAGTAAGTTTTTTACATAATAAAATACCCCAGTACAGGTAGTGTATTTGCATCGTATCGCCTAATTGTAGTTGTCCATGATATATGCATTACTTTATACATCCTGTATTACAGGTTAGATATGGAAAGTGGGTCATTATACAGCCTGGCAGTGCTGTCAATTCTCTGGCACCTGTTAAACTAAGCGATATACCCGCCAACGTCCAACTACGTCCACTTTCCGCCATCCTCTGATCAGTAAATATTATTTACTGTGAACCTTGGACATAAATGCAATCGGACGTTACTCAAAAAGATGGATACCTGTACAGTGTACATTGTTTTATATTTATTAAATCAGGTTTAAAGTTTATTCAGGCAAAAATACATTTAAAAGTTTTGTGTATTTGCAAGAAAAGCTAGCAGTAATTCCATTTTTTAGAAGAAAAACTAGTGAAGCAGAATATCCAGATATGTAAAAAGATAAAGTTACACATTAAATAATACTCTGCAATAATTATCACTATCATATTACTCTGAATATTGAATGTGGAGTGCTGGAAATGTCATTTCAGCTGAATAATCTTTAAGGTCATTGTCTGGATATCAAATTAATACTTAAACAAAAAATTAGAAATATAGATATTAATTGAACTACAGTTTTGGTATGGTTTTTAATTTAGAACTTCACAGCAGGTACCGAAAGCAGCCAATACGTCTATTTTCACTAGAAATGGTATGCCAACCAGCTTGGCACAAGCACTCTTATCTGGAAGCCATTCACAGAAAAAGGTCTGCAACGTGAGCTGTCTGGAAAAGGTAAAATCTATGTTTCTCCCTGCCAAACTGATCCACCAGTGGTTACTAAAGAAATCACTGTCAAAAAACAGCATGGTCGTTACAAAAAGACAGCATTCCCCAAAGCCTGAACATTTGCCCATCGATAAATCCCGGTCAGCCAAATCTAGGACCAGCTGGTATCATTTACTCCTGTGATAAAAAGCCAAAATAAAGGTAGGATTTAAAGTTCACAAGGATGCTGTCACCTTTCCATATAAGTGCAATGACCAGCTTTTCACTCTGACTCTGACGTAAAATAAAAGGGTTTTTTTCCCCTTTCCACATTTTGCTCCCTTCCAGCTCCGTACCAGGGGCTGGGAGGGAGCAAAAATGTGAACTGTCTGGGGTCCCATAGACCAGGTGGGGAAACAGTGCTTTAGAGGATGGAAAATACGGAGAAACACAGGTTTGTTAGCTGGGCTCTTCATTGATTGACAACAGCAACCATCAGCAGCACCACCCAATGAAGAACAGTTTCCTATGACAAATCTGAAATGCCTGCATTATTATTCATTTTTTAGTTAAATTGGGTTGTTTTTCGCAGCTCCCATGAATGCACGCTTCAACTACACACCCAAAAGGGCTTAAAAAGAGATTTCCATCTTTCAAATAACCTAAAGGTAAAGTCACATACAAGGAAAAGTATCAACATTTTTTTAAAGTTCATGGCATGTATAAATTACCATAAAAAGTCTGGTACCATTTACATTAAAATATCACACAGCTAACACGGTATGGTCACCATTTTCCCCAACCTTTCCTTAAGCCTTGTCAACTTCTATAAAATCTGAAAGCCACAGCAAGCATGGGAAAAAGCCTCTTTTCCCCCCCAAAAGCTGAAAATACAGATTGCAGTAAAAGTAAATTATAGTCTTCCCTTTGCTCTTCCTTGACTTGTGCTATTAACAATCAGCTTTAATACCTTTCCAGTTTTATCACGCTATTCAAAGCAAGCCTTTCCAGTTGGCCAGCAACAAATATCTGGAGTTACAGTACCCACCACAACAAAAATGAACCGGATAGAATATCTTCATAAAAATCCAAATCAAAGTGGAATAGCTTCACTATGGTATGGTACATGGCTTGCATGCAATGTCCTCAAGATGGATCTCTATTCCTCTGAGCAGAGGCAGACATTTCAAGTCCAGAAAGTAAAAATCCAAACCAGGATTTTGTTTCAACCAACCAGTCCAGTATTCTATGACTGTGACTCTTTATACTGAACTGGTTGGTTGAAACAAAATCCTGGTTTGGATTTTTACTTTCTGGACTTGAAATGTCCGCCTCTGAGTCTTGTCAACTCACGCTTCATGGGATTCAATCCTATACCTCCTACTACACCAATTTTTACCCCACACAACAATGCAGGGTTTGCCTGATGTTAATACTGGCACCGGATGCTTTGAGTAATGCAAGGGTAAACCTGCCAACGATATTGTTATGGTGTGAAATACTAAATCAGCTAAATGATCCAATGCAGAAACAAATATAGAATTCTGGTCCATTGAAGTGTCATGCAATGCCAACATAATTATATTAATTAATTTTTTAAAAATGACGGTCCTAGCTAGATCTTTCAATGCAATTATTTGGCATTCGAGGGACAGCAGTGGCATGAAAGTTCAATCATTGTCTTGGTCTCCATCTTCTTGGTATCGTTGGTGTCTTTCTGCCAGGAACAATCAACCTCCATGTGGTTTGCTTTGGATTGAGTTTGAAGTGCGTGTGCAGAGATGTCACGACAGGCTTCTATGTATGCTTTTGTTTTTTTAATTCACCGAAATCCCATTTGTTGCGCTGCATGCAAGACAGAAGTCGCTAATTGAGCTGCCTTTTATGTTCGCCTACACTGGGATCATCATCTCGGATTTGCTTCCTCTCCCAGCTGTCATGTGGTGTGAAGATCCCTGCTTCACTGGATCTGGAGGACTCAGGAGAAAGAATGCCCTCCCGTTGCCTGGCAACACTGAAACAAACTTGCAGATGTGTAATGTTCCACTTCGGTTAAGGACAAAAATCTGTGTGCTGACTCTTTACTTGCCAGATGATATTTCGCAGGTTTTACTATAGTTGTAATGGAAATGTTTCATAATTTGCTCAGTGAAGCACATGGCTTTATGGATTTTAAATTTGCCAAACAAGCCAGTTAAATGCATCATACATGATCATCAGCAGAAAGTATGTTCACCAATGATGGTTATAACAGCAGAAAGAATCATAACACAAAAATCCTTCTAGTCACAAACCATAGGCCATTCGCTCATCATTCCTGAATGTATTGAAAGAAAATAGAGAACTACCAATTAATTCCAAATTAATTATAAAAAATTAAAAGTGTGGTTTCCATCTTGATATCATTCTGGTAGTGCTTGTTCACAACATTTAAAAAAATTACCTTAAAATAAATAGGCCTACAGACTGTTTTTTTTGGTACAGTACATGACCTTAGAAATTACCAGAGAGATACAACATTATGTACAGCAGGAGTCTCAAACTCAAATTACC